TATCCTTAGGATATCCCCAGCAATGTATGTACTGTAAAAGAGGGGTTATAATGTGCGGATTTGCACCTAATGCAATAAGGCAATCAAGTATACGCAGGAAAGCTATAACAGAATATTGAACTGGACAGGTAATGAAATTTCCATTAGCCTGGTAGGTAAACTTGACAGCTTATTCTCATAATATAAAAGATGGTAACGGAGCAGCCCAACTCCAATTAGCATGTACATCACCTGTAGAGTGGCGATAACTAAGGTAGCCAGAGATGCTTTCCCCGGTTGAAAATTTGCTGTAGCGAGTAAGAAGGCACACTCACATTGCAGTGTTATCTGACCGATCTTCAGAGCTGCAATCCCGCCTAGAGTACCTTCCAATGCGAGCATCCAGTATCGAACACTACGCAGTTGATGACATGGTTCGAAAGTTCAGTTTTGATCCATACACAGCTTTTGTCATAATCACCTCAGTAGCATATGTTTTGCTTTTCGCGGATTTTCAGTTTCTAGTCTGGTTCATCGTCTCAACACTATATCCCGCATATACGAGTCTAGACCATAGAGAGGCTATAACACCATGATAATTAACACGCCATCTCACACCATTCCGTAATGATAAGGTGTGTCTCTCTATTCCGTTGGCGTTGTTTATTCCTTCCTTGACCCAAGAAGCGATGCAAGTGGAGGCGGGGGCGAAAACATCCAGCTTGGATAGCCTCGGACGAACAAAAGTTCCCTATTCTTTCTTGCTGCTACCCTGGACCCGGCTGCCTTAGCATTATGCTTCACAAAAGCAGCGTTTTGTGTCTCTGGCTTCAGCTACCAGTCCAATGGAAATTCTTCCAAAAGTTGTAATTTTCTTGTTGATCAACTCCAGCGGAACCTCAGCCAAACAAACCATAGACTGTCCCCCTGCATGTATGCTCATGCATGTGTAGGCAACATACTAAGCAGTCCAATTGCTAACCGCTCACATTTCCTTCATGGCATGGCTCCATTGAAGAGACTATGCCAGTTCCTCTTCGTATATGTATTCTTGGCACCTTTCAGGTATGCTCCCATGATCTGTGCCGCCAAACTCCTATTTTGCGGGCCGGCCCTCGGACGGGAGAAGGTATTTCGGTCAAGTTGGGTCCTCCCGTGACTAGCTGTTGAAATTTTACTGCCACCGGATTTTTCTATAGCGATTCCGACCCACGTGGACCAATCCCCCACGTTCAGCGCCTCGGGCCCCCATATTCCGCCGATATTGAAAATTATCTCCCCAGCGAAGGGCGATAAAATAAGGCAATAACTTGCATTCCTAAGGTACATGAGTTAAATACCTGTACGGCATTGTACAGTACATATTGTCAAGCACCAAACAGGTATCAAATCAGAAGAGGCTTAAGTAGCAGATAGAAAGTTTATCCTAGAGCCGTAGCTACTCCACCTTTGTCCTCAACTGCAAACCATGCCACCCTTTGATCTCTTCGTCCAGAATTCCCTGCACCAAACGGTGCTGCTTCATCATTGTCAAGCCTTTGAACTTCGGTGAGGCAATCTCAATTGCATACATGGACCCACAGCCGCCGGACACGTCTTGTACCTGCGTTTTGTATTTATTTTCCGTTAGCGGATGGGAGAAAGAAGATACTTAACCCTCTTCTCATCGCCAACCTCCTGCTGGTCAGGTTTCATTTGCAATAAGACTGCGTGGATTTAAGCAGAAAGGAAGGGAAAGTAACAGAAAGGTATAGGGTATATGAGTTCAAGTTATTTTTTTTTATAGGTGCATGAATTATTGCATATGCGGCCCAATCCCCAATTGCGAGGTCATGCAGCCGAAGGTCAACTCTCCAATCATAAATCAGAGGGAGAGAACCTAGTGCTGAAAACAAGGTAATGCAAGTATCAAAGCTTGAAAAACCTGCAGCGAACAATATGAAATCTCGGAAATATGAACTCTTTGGACATCAGAAAGAGAGAAATTCCCCAAAAAACTCTCTTGAAAAAGAAATATAGAGCACATAGTATGGAGTGATGCTCATCAGACTAGGGAAGTACCTTCTTCACTCTTGTAAAGAGACAATGCAGGGAGTAATAGGTACAGTATGCGTAAGATGTAGGATTATCCAGGAAACAACTTGTACACAGAAACATACCTCCAACCTGCTTGGCTCAAGTTGAGCGACAAGCTTATCAAAGATGTGACGTTCTTTGTCATCCAGATGATCTGGTGATTGAATTTTTCCGGGCGATGTAGCTGATGTGGAGTAAAAGAACTGGGAACCAGAATAAGTTCGACGTATCCCCACCACAGGGTCAGATAGTGTCGCTGTGTAGAAACGGCGCTCGGCGTAGGGGGGCAGGTGGTTAGTTTGTTGGAGCCTCATGGGCTGTCTGGCTACCGTCCTCGCCACCAAACGTATCGCAAATGACTGTGACATTGCGTGTGCGATCGGAGTACTGGAGGGGGCTCAAGCTTTCGGACTTTCGGACTTTCGGAGTGGTTTGTGGGGGAGTGAGCACGGACGGACAATTCGCCGAAGGAGGGCTCAGCTAGCCGATTGGCAAATCAGCCTCACAGCGATATCACAAAGGGTGTGTGCAACAGACGTGCGTTTTGAGACAAGTGACGTTTGTTGTCATTGGGTTTAGGTTTGGTCGGTTACCTACCAGCTACGCAGAGGCTTCACGATTGGCCCTTGCCCCTGGCCAATAATTGCAATTTTCGAAAGCCGCCGCAATTGAGGCGCCAGCCCCTTGGATTCACGCTCATTGGCTCTGCTAACGACACCTGCTATGAGACGAGGCCCTGGCTCAGCCTTAATCCAACGTTAACGGCCCTTTGCTCAGGTCAGTTTTTCGTTTAAATATGTACAGTACATACGTTCGTTATAGTTAAAGATAGTTAAATTCTGGGAAAGCTGAATTGAAATACTGGCAAATATCTGGATTGGCCTAGACGTGCTCACAAACATCTAGCTGGGCTAGTCGGTGAAGTTGCTAGTTCTCGGCACCATGAAGTGGCACTTGTTCCCAGGCCCAGTGGCAAAAAATTAAAATGAGGGAATGATACGGTGCTGCCAGTATTGACGAAGATCAAACGCACTGACATTACCCACTGAATCCAACGAGCTAGCAGCTGTAAATAGCACCCTTCGATGCAAGGGCCAAATTTCATCTCATCGATCATCTCGAAGATGGCGAAAAAAAAAAAATGTTGAGGTTTCAATTTGTGTTGCATATTTTTTTTTTTTTTATTCTTCGCTGCTTTAAGTTGCCGTCATTGGTGCGCCAAGATTAACAACTTCTGACTTCGCAATGTCTCGCATCCTTGACCATAAACTAAACCTCACCCAACCTTGTCTCAGGCCATTTCTCAACTTCACAACCGCACCCCCTTTCACCGTACTTTCTTTCTCATCGTTGCTTTTTTCTACCCTGCTGCCTTCTCCATTCCAAAGCCTTCTTACTCCGTACTCTGTTTGTATCTTTCCTAGCTGTGACATCAGGCTGACAATAGACACCTATTTCTATTAGCACTGATAGACAAACCGGTGGCTCTTCGTCAAAAATATCCGCGGATGCACGCTTGGCTTTGGGTATCTGTGCAACATCGGGTATACACATCCCCATCGAGGGAAAAGTCCTTCACTTCAATCTTGCTCTAACCTTTATAGTTGGTGGTCAATACCAAGGAATACGGATGAAGCATACATTACCTTCGCAACACTCTGAGAGCAAGACACCCTGCCGATGCACACAGTACAGTACCGATACCTGCTAGCAGGTATCAAATACCCAACATGAAATAAGGCGGGAAGTATGCATTTCGGTACTTCCCCTGCGTACGGGGGCCGCGAAGACGCTTCTTGCCTCTCGGGTCCCTACTTTTAAACAGGACAAGGGAGCAAAAAAAAGAAAATCCTAGAAGTACTTGTGCCTTCCCACTCTGACAGATGGATTGTATGGTTCGCCTCAAGTAACAGTGGTCAGTCAATGGCTACTCTCACCGAGACATGCCTCGTTGTGAGGCATATTTTTCACGAACCTGCTCTCCCTCCACAGCCTCGTGCACAGTTCATCCCCTTGGCCCATAAATTTCTTTTATAAGGACTGCTTTTCCCTGGTTAAGTCTCCTTCAAAATTCGACCCGGTAGTTAAAATACTCTGGAGCACCGCACTAGCATGAAGGCCTTCAAAAGGCCCTTGTTCCCAGTATTTCTTCCTTGCTAGCAAGCAACGATTCCTCTCAACCAACACCGGGCTGAATGTGGCGGAACAGTCATGATTAGTGTTTCGTTGACCATTTGTTTCGAGATTTGGGGTGGGGGACATTAGTATATGTATAGTATAGCCCAGGAAATTGCAGTAAAAAGGCTTCACAATATGGGCTGTCTATTGGCATCATTACTTTTTTCGTGCAGTTTGAGGCATATCTCAGATCACATCCAGGAAAAGGAATTCTCAGCTTCCATGTACTATACTTCTTCTGTAAGGGGGGGAGCCACCAGGTTGAGCCTACGCCGAATCAGTTACTTCTTGCTAGCTATATTTACATTGGGGTAGGAGAAATTATACAGCAACTTAGTTAGGCGAAGGTAATATGGCTTTCGCCTGCAAACTGCATTATTATAATAGGACACCGGAAATGGTTTGGAATAACGGAAAATTCAACTTGTGGGTTTCATGTTTGTACACCACCAAGTCTTCCTTTTGCCGGTGGAGGTATTGAATCCGGGCTTTGCGAACGTCGCCCTCGTTAAGCGGTTAGATAGGATAAACATCGTTGGGAATTTTTAGATAAATAATGAGCCAATTCTCGGTGATCACCGTCGCCGTGCGGCCTCAGCTCCGGTAGCTTCCGCACAGCCAAGTCAATGGCTAATTCGTTGTGTTGCTCCAATTACTGTCTCGTCCGTTTGGAAAGTTAGAACTGATATCCTGATTCACGGAGGCCGTGAGATAATAAAAAAAAGTTAGGTGCGATAGGGAAAAACCATGTGAAGTAAAAAAAGATATTCTCCTGGCCGGGATTGAACCGGCGACTTTCGCATTCCTTAGAAGGCATACTTGGTTCCGAGGAATCCAACGTATAAGAACGACACGCTAACCACTGCGTCACAGGAGATGTTTGATACCCAAATTCCTAAAAATCAATATATGTACCGTTTCTTATGATGCTGGAAGTTTTTAACTGACCCAAAAGATCACCACACTCTGAGACGACATATTAAGAACTGTTCAAGGACGTTTGATTTATTGAGCTCGTACATAGCACTATAAGATAAAAAAAAAACTCCTATAAAACAAAGCTCGCAAGATTCAATTTTCGTGAAGAATTTCAATAGCATAACAGAAGAAATTGGTCTTCGAATTTTGTGAGTATTCTCATCAATATCGAACCTCAAGTCATAACGAAAGAGCGGAGAAGCAAAAACAAGCTAAAATGAAATAACTGAAATAAAAAAGTTTTTCCTGAACAAAATGTAAAAACCGTGCCCCCTTTTTCGCGACCATGACCCAACCAAGCAATACCAAAGCCATCCCATATACCAATACCAAGCCCGTTTTCCCCTGTCCCCGTCATTGACCCCCTTCTCCATCAACCTGAGAAATTTCCAACACGATGCTTCCACAGCGCTTGAAAGCAGTTGATTCCCATGTCCACCATGCCATACCATATAATAACGTATCATACGTAGTCTCGCTCCATATATCCCTAAGTCATGCATCCCACAAGCAATCAACAGTAAAGCCTTGGTCCCCAACTTCATGCCTGCTAACTCCCTTCTCAAGCTCCACTGTCACAACCGTCTCACAAGTCTAGCTGGCCTAGATGATAGGATATTACTCGTATCATATATCGAGACTGAGACTGAGAACGACGGAAGGGCACCGTCAACTTGGAGAGAGAAATGGAATAGGCATGTTTAGGAACAAGACACTGAATGCCCATAGAGATGAGGAATAACCGAAATAAGCCAGAAAATATAACAAATCATAATAACAGTGATACCAATAATCCACCCGTTTCTTGGAAGACTCTAAAGCGAAGAAGGAAAGAAATGCGGAGGTATGGTTAGGCTGCGGTGTTTTGTCTTCGCATGGGTAAAGGCCCTGGAGAAGGGAATACAGCTCGACAGAAACCTTGAAAACGCGACCTCCCAAAATTCCAACCATCGAGAAAAGGCAAGTCAACAAATTATAGGACATCGAAGAGAAGGCGAGAACCTTGTTGAAGAGGCATCAGAAAAGCCAACGAAACAAATGACCGCAAACGCTCAACCTGATTTAGGGAACAACAAAGCAAAAGCCAATAGAACACCATCCATAACCCTATTCCACCTAATAAACCCGCCCAATTTCCTAACCCGTCCCCCAGTTCCTGTTTTTCCCGCGATTTTGTTTTTTGAATGAGTTGCAGACTCCCTTAGAAATAGACCGTACCGGAGACAAAGAAATAAACCAACCAGAGGAAACTAAAAACACAGTGTAGAAGTGAAGTGAAAGAGACCTGACAATGCAAGAAACTACAAAGAGGCAGATGGAGGGAAGCGCAGCCGAAACGAAAAAGGAAAGGAGTTAGGGTTCCCTCCATCCAAGTGTACAATCTTTTTGGGAGATAACATCTTTAGCTATTACTCCACTACCCACGGATGGCAGTGGCCTGAGGGGTATCAAAAGGAAATCCTCCATGGTTGCGTCTGGGTTGGTACTTATAAGTACCAAAAGGATCAGGCGAAGTAGTAACTGAACTCCTTTGAGACGCAGAGAGAGATGGGGGAGAACCATTTGGGGGCGTGTATCTTGGGCTTTGACCATCCAAGAGAGGAGAATTGTTGAGTGAGGTTGAGGGAGATGGTGAGTGAGAACCCGTGACAGTGTAAGCCGAGAGGAGAGTCTGATCGTGCGAATATATGTCCTTGACTGGTGCCTCTTCAAGAGTAACTTGGTTAAGCTGAGGAGATCCTCTTGCGGACCCGAACTAATCACCGGTTAGTATACTCAAGACAATTTATGTGACAAGGGGAAAGGCTGCTTACAAAACAATACGTTTCCAGTAATTCCCTGTAAGAGAGAGAAGCGATGGATGGCTTCTCACTGGCGACGATGACCTCCGGGGGCCCTGCGCCGGTCCTGGGTGGACTTTGCGGAGGTGTTGTCGAAAGTACTTTGGGAGTCTGGGTTGCGAGCGCAGAGGAGACTGGTAAAGGAAGAGGTAGCTCATCGGACTTCTTCGGTACCGACTTACTAGAGGTGAATTTAAAGTATTGTTGCTTCTCCTCTGGCTTGCTGACCACGGGCTCGTTCTTCTCCAATACCTCCATCCTGGGGCTCGGGGTGTTGCCAGCAATAGCAGCACTCAAGGACGCAGTAAAGTCATATCTATTTGAGAATGCATTGCCAGAGGGATTTGCTCGACGCACTGGCTCAGCACCCTCACTGATCAAGACTGACTGCCTTGGTACGGGCTTATCCACTTGGATAGTGAGACTCTCGAGGTCGTCGAAGGCATCGAATTTATCCAAGCTCGGCAATTTCCGGGGAAGCGTTGACACAGAAGGCCTAAAGCGTGGCAATTCCACCCTTCCTGGTTTGCCATTTTGTGGCAAGTACCTCTTCTTGAAGTCGACCTGGAAGTTCATGTCGTTGTTGTTATCCCAAAGCTCTTGTCCTCCAACACAATACCGAATACAGAAGAAAAGGGTTTTTGTTTCCAGATTAGCAAGGTCATGTAACTTGATCTTGAAGGTGAACCTGTCGACATTTCCCTCTCGTTCCTTCTTGCGTACGTCGCTATTGTATTCAGCTGTAACTTCTGACACTGTTTGCCAGTAATCCAATGTAAACCTAACAATCACCTTCTTCTGGAATGAGATATTATGAACAGCGACCGCTCCGAGGAGATTCTGTTTATCAGCAGATAGGTACGCTCGCTCCAGCCTTACTGGCAGATGCTTGCGTGAATTAGGGTCTTTGGGGAAATTTGGAAGCTCAATCTCCCACTCAAACGGAGGAGACAACTGATACTCTTCTTCACCATCGAAGGGAAATTCATCACCGTCGAATGACTCCACTGGTGAAGATCCAGCACTAACTGCTGTTGGCTTCTCTGTGTTCAAGAAATGGCGAACATGTTCGAGGTGGGAATCAAAGTGGACTGCTTTCGGGAAAGTGGGTGTTGACGGTACACTTGATGGGCGAGACCTGTTTGGGGTTTTCAAGGAAGACTTAACGAGCTCTCCACTCTTCTTGCGAACCATAGGTGTTGCTATCCGGTAACCCTCATCCTCCACATCGCTATCGGGGTTGGACTTGTTGAAGTGCTTGAGAAATGATGAATCGGATGTTGCCCTATGATGCCCAAACTTTCTTGGTGAAGTGGCAAGGTCAGCTGGCGAGTTTCGCTTCGCCGAATTGTCCGGTGATGGAACTCTCCTCTGTGGAAGGTTCTTGATGGCCTCTTTTAATTCATCCAAGTTTTTGGAGTCGATTTGTCGTCCCCTCCGCATCTCCAGAGGTTCGTCTGCCTCATCATCGTCTGCTTCTGAGTCTGGAGGAGAGACTATTGCTCCTGTTGGAATGAATGAGCTATTGTTCACAGGAGCTGGTGACTGATGAAGACTACCACTTCTACTACTGGGTGACAACTGACGACTGAGCAGTGGACGGCTAGTTAAAGTATTTGACGATCGTCGGTGATGGTTCCTGGGGTATGCGGACGATCGTGGTAGTGCATTGGTAGTTAATGTGGAAGGTCGGTCATGTAGAGAGATGGAGGCTGAGCGGCTTTGGGCCGGCGAGGCAGCTGGAGATTGACAAGGAGGAGTGTAGGGCATTGTTGGATCCTGTGATGTCGAGATGGTGTTATAGCAATGAAGGTCTGGTGTGTTTATTGAGAGCCAGAGAATCGTCGAGATGTCGTCGAGGCTTCAATGGGTCATAAAAGAAAAGGGAAATAAGAAACCGAATAAACAAGCCGTAAAACCCAGAAAATATTAACAGATATTAAGCTCACTGTAACGAACCTCACCCAATTAGTAAAATTTCATCCCAATGATGCTGAGTAGCTTTGAGGTAGCCTCACAGTGAGCAGCTTACCAATAGAAGTGAGAAAGTGTTGACCTTTTGACCCTGGACAAGTGGTCGAACACTTTATAGACTTGAGGAGGGTATGAGGGAAACAGGTAGCCCGGCCTACTACAGCACAGGCGTCACTGTCTTTCTCAATGCACTCAACTCAACTGAACAACGATCACAGCTCTGGAGCGGACTGTTCTTGTTGCAGGAGCGAGAGGGTTTTGAGCTGCGAGGGAAGGGGGGGTCGTATCGTTGATGAATGAGTGAGAGAAGAAATCACTCGCGGGCTACTGCAGTCAGGAAGGACACAGCAGCAGTAGACCCTGGAGGATATATGAGAGGGGGGGAGGGGGGGGGAGATAGGCAGGCGGAAAGCCTCTTCTCGTTCGCGGGCGGCGAGAGGTGAGTGGTTGGTTTCGATGAGGAAGACGTGGGTTGGTCAAGTTCTGTTGAAGGGGAGTAATGGGCGGCGGGGGGCGGGAGAGTAAGTATGTAAGTAGTGGACACCCAGCACGCACTCAGCAGCGTGAAATTCTGGGATGGGGGTGGGAATTGCAAGAAAAAAAGCCCCCAACGAAGAGGCGAGGGCAGGGATCTATGCCCAAAGGAAGGAAAGAACAAAATGCAATCCGCCCCCAGCAAGGTATATCTCTCAATCCCGGTGCCAGGAGGCATGGACAGACAGGCGTAAGCAGCCTGGCCTACCACCGCCCCGTCAAGAACACTACTCTGCCGACTGCCCGCCCACCACCAGCACCTCCCCACCAGCGTGAAGGGGCAGAGGGCAGAGGGCGATCAGCACAAGCCTGACGCACCCATTGCAAGGGTATCTGGCATACCGCCGCTCTTATCTCTAAAGCAGCGCAACAACCAGGTTATTTTGCACCTCCGGGGAGCGCACCCACACCACGACCACGACCACCCTCAACCAACCACCTATCCAACGACAGGTAGCCACACCACCAGTGCACACCACGATGCCGAAAAATAGCATTTCTCTTCCACACCAAATTACGAAGAACGGGAGAGCGGTAGCCCCTAGTGCCT